GAAAACTACAGGCCAATATCACTGATGAACACAGATGCAAAAATCCTCAACAAAATACTAGCAAACAGAATCCAACAGCACATTAAAAGGATCATACACCATGATCAAGTGGGGTTTATCCCAGGAATGCAGGGATATGCAAATCAATCAATGGGATACACCATATTAACAAACTGAAGGAGAAAAACCATATGATCATCTCAATAGATGCAGAAAAAGCTTTTGACAAAAATTCAACACCGATTTATGATAAAAACTCTCCAGAAAGTAGGCATAGACGGAACTTACCTCAACATAATAAAGGCCATATATGACAAACCCACAGCCAACATCGTTCTCAATGGTGAAAAACTGAAACTATTTCCTCTAAGATCAGGAACAAGACAAGGTTGCCCACTCTCACCACTATTATTCAACATAGTTTTGGAAGTTTTAGCCACAGCAATCAGAGAAGAAAAAGAAATAAAAGGAATCCAAATTGGAAAAGAAGAAGTAAAGCTGTCACTGTTTGCAGATGACATGATACTATACATAGAGAATCCTAAAGAATCTACCAGAAAACTAATAGAGCTAATCAATGAATGATACAAAATTAATGCATAGAAATCTCTTGCATTACTATACACTAATGATGAAAAACCTGAAAGAGAAATTAAGGAAACACTCCCATTTACCATTGCAACAAAAGGAATAAAATACCTAGGAATAAACCTACCTAAGGAGACAAAAGACCTGTATGCAGAAAACTATAAGACACTGATGAAAGAAATTAAAGATGATACAAACAGATGGAGAGATATACCATGACTATACTACCCAAAGCAATCTACAGATTCAGCGCAATCCGTATCAAACTACCAATGGCATTATTCACAGAACTGGAACAAAAAATTTCACAATTTGTATGGAAACACAAAGACCCCAAATAGCCAAAGCAATCTTGAGAACGAAAAAAAAAAAAAAGCTGGAGGAATCAGCCTCCCGACTTCAGACTATACTCCAAAGCTACAGTAATCAAGACAGTATGGTACTGGCACAAAAACAGAAATATAGATCAATGGAACAGGATAAAAGCCCAGAGATAAACCCACGCACATATGGTCACCTTATTTTTGATAAAGGAGGCAAGAATATACAATGGAGAAAAGACAGCCTCTTCAATTAGTGGTGTTGGGAAAACTGGACAGCTCCATGTAAAAGAATGAAATTAGAACACTCCCTAACACCATACACAAAAATAAACTCAAAATGGATTAAAGACCTAAATGTAAGGCCAGACACTATAAAACTCTTAGAGGAAAACATAGGGAGAACACTCTAGGACATAAATCACGGCAAGATCCTTTTTGACCCACCTCCTAGAGAAATGGAAATGAAGACAAAAACAAATGGGACCTAATGAAACTTAAAAGCTTTTGCACAGCAAAGGAAACCGTAAGCAAGACAAAAAGACAACCCCCAAAACGGGATAAAATATTTGCAAATGAAGCAACTGACAAAGGATTAATCTCCAAAATTTACAAGCAGCTCATGCAGCTCAGTATCAAAGAAGCAAACAACCCAATCCAAAAATGGGCAGAAGACCTAAACAGACATTTCTCCAAAGATATACAGACTACCAACAAACACGTGAAAGGATGCTCAACATCACTAATCATGAGAGAAATGCAAATCGAAACTACTATGCGGTATCACCTCACACCGGTCAGAACGGCCATCATCAAAAAATCTACAAACAATAAACGGTGGAGAGGGTGTGGAGAAAAGGGAACCCTCTTGCACTGTTGGTGGAAATGTAAATTGATACAGCCACTATGGAGAACAGTACGGAGGTTCCTTAAAAAACTAAAAACCGAACTACCATACGACCCAGCAATCTCACGACTGGGCATATACCCTGAGAAAACCATAATTCAAAGAGTCATGTACCACAATGTTCATTGCAGCTCTGTTTACAATAGCCAGGACATGGAAGCAACTTAAGTGTCCGTCGACAGATGAATGGATAAAGAAGATGTGGCACATATATACAATGGAATATTACTCAGCCATAAAAAAAAAACGAAATTGAGTTATTTGTAGTGAGGTGGATGGACCTAAAGTCTGTCATACACAGTGAAGTAAGTCAGAAAGAGAAAAACAAGTACCGTATGCTTACACATATATATGGAATCTAAAAGAAAATGGTCATGAGGAACCTCGGGGCAAGACGGGAATAAAGACGCTGACATACTAGAGGACACAGGGAGGGGGAAGGGTAAGCTGGGACGAAGTGAGAGAGTGGCATGGACATATATACACTACCAAACGTAAAACAGATAGCTAATGGGAAGCAGCCACATAGCACAGGGAGATCAGCTCGGTGCTTTGTGACCACCAAGAGGGGGGGAATGGGGGGGGTGGGAGGGAGGGAGACGCAAGAGGGAAGAGACATGGACACATATGTATAACTGATTCACTTTGTTATAAAGAAAAAACTAACACACCATTGTAAAGCAATGAAAAAAAAAAAAGTATTAGGTCACAGCCTTGAATGAAAAAGTAACTTCTCTTTTAATTAATCCAATTCTGGGAAGATTGGCTGTTGGAACCCCAAGGTCATGCTTCTGGCCTGTTAACTATCATACTGTGTTTAAAAACCTGATTTCAGGACTTACTAGTAAGTATAAAATGCATACATAGCCGTGGCAGCTCTGGCCTCAGAAGCTTAACGCAGTGGCGGGCGTCTTGGAGCTCATCCCCAGCCCGGGCCCTTCCTCGAAGGCTGGGCGAGCTGGAAGTGCTCACTGCTCCCAGGACAGTCGGGTCCCTGCCGCACCATCAGTCAGCGGGGAATGTTCACAGAGCCAAACATTTTCCAACCTGGTGGTTTTTTATCAACTATTTCCAAGGTCAACTCGGTCCATTGTAATTTTTTTTTCCCCTCATTTGACAGGATAAATGTTGCCATCCACTGTGTTTAACTCTAAGGATGTTCAGTATGACACAAAGCAAGGCCTGGGAAAGTCTGTTACTTGCTAAGTTATCCTTGGGAAAGAAGTCAGGCCACGTTTCCCACTCTCCTTATCATCTTGGGAGGCTCTCTTGGGAGTTTCTGAGAAGGTGCAGCTCTGCGGGCACCTCCCTTGAGACACATGCTCGGCTCTTGCATCCGGGCTGCCTGGCTGGTACCCACTCCGCAACAGGGCAGACAGACCTCCTCCCGGGGAACGTGCACTCCCGCGGAGCCAGCTGTCGTTGCGGTGGAGCTCATTAATCTTGTGTCCTCGGACGGACGGCTGGCCGTCCGTGTGCACTTGACTGCCATGGGCAGACGGGTCCAGTAACGGCAGATCTGAATCTGCCATCTGGAAGCCGCCCTGTTAGCCCATCCACAGCCTCTGCCCCGCACCATGCAAAGTGGAGACTCACTGGTCCATTCCAAGCAGAAGAGCTGAGAAGTGAATGTTGGAAGGAGGCGGCAGCAAAGAGAGAGGATGTTAAAATACACTGAACAGGAGGTTCCAGCTGAGTGACTTTCCATAATTTTCCATCTCACGGGGAAGATTTTCCATGACTGTTGTTTGGGAAACCAGATGTGTTACATTGTTTTCCTCCCCCCCCTTCCAAAGCATTTGGATGCACGCGTGGGAAACACCCAACAGGCGCCCTCAGAGGCAGTGGGTTTGTGGCTAAATGGCAATTGAGGAATACTATGTGAATTAATCACAGATACTTCATAGGACTGAGTGACAACATCGCTTTTAAAAATAATAAAACTGGTAGATTTTAGAGGATGTTTTTGCAAAGTAGCATTTTATTTTCTAACTGGATCTTTGCCGGAAAACACATTCCATGAGCTAAAAATCTCCCCATGGACACTGGCCTAATGACAAACTTCCTAATAACGGTAATTAAAAATTCATTTGAAAGTATAACCTCTTTCTTGAGTCATATTATTCTGGGAAAAATGAAGGGTGGATGAGTATGTGTAGAAATCAGGTCTTCAGTTGTGAACATCTGAGTTGTACACGGAGAGAAAGCAGTAGGCGAAAGGCACACTCCCCCAGGCCTGAGCTCAGACATTGCCACTTTCCTCCTCTGGATCAGAGCCTAGGTTCTGCTGCCATTCCTCTCCCCCTTGATGCCCTGAGGCTCTGGGCGGAGGGAGGGGCCGCAGCTGTGGAGCCCGGTGTGTGCTCAGGGAGCACCCGAAGGCCTGTGGCTGAGCAGCTGCAGCTGTGTCCGGGGCCACCCCGCCCTGCGCCTCACCCCAGAGCCAGGCTCTGCTTGCCGGACCCTCAAAGAAGCAACACAGGGTCAGGAGGGACTCAGGCCACGATGCCCAGGAGCAAGAAAGCCTTAGTCTCACAGGACCTCAGCACTCCAAACCCTCTACGGCTGCCGTTTTGTAGAAAAGCGCAAAAACTCTGGGGGCCATAGTGTCTTCTGGCTTATTCAGCAGGGCCTGTGGGCCTGTCTGCTTATACAAATGAATGGAGCGTTTGGCAGCACTAATAATTAAGGTTCTACACTGAAATCCCACCTCTCTACACACACTTTAATTTTTTTCCCAAGTGTCGTCAAATATTTTTATTTGGGACATTATGTTTCATGTGGCTTAAAAAGATCCCGAAACACTTTATACATGTTTGGGGATTAAAAAAACCAAACTTGTTGTGTAGTTCCTCCTGTGCGTTATGTTGCCAGTTTAGTGATGGTGCCGATGCCCACTCAGCAAACGACAGCAAAGCCCTAAGTTCCTTTTCTGGCCATGGTCATGGCACTTCCTCCTTGGAAGAATGGTCAGTCTTTATAAGGCACAGGCTACTCCATCCAATACTGTTTTTTCTTCCTGCTGAGGTACATTCGCTGGCCTTGAGGGGACACAATCCATGTGACCTTATCATGTCCTTATTTATGTGAATAAGCCAAATAAGACCTTTCTGCCCTGGGAACAACAACACGTGAACTGATGACAGACAGACTAGGGGTCTCCTCTCCCCGGCGTGGGCACCCACCTGCCTGTGGAGCTGTCCCCCGTCTGTGGGCTGCAGCCGTGATCCGTGGTCACCGATCTGCACACCAAACTGTGGAGGATGCTCCCCCAGGGAAAAGCCACAGCCTGGACCGTCGTCATCTTGGTCTGGACCGTCCACCTTCGCATCCTCCTGAACGCCAGGCTCCCCAAGCCTGTGGAAGGTCTCTGGAAGCTCGCTCTGAAACGGCAGGAGGGTATGATCACAGCTCCACCCGAATCCTTTTGCCCTGAAGCCTGATTTTTAGTGTTTGAGGATAATTACCCACTTTAGGGGTTATCATGTCTTTGCTTCTCAGCCCTCTGCTTCTCAGCCCTTTCCCCTAATAGGCTCATTCTGGCCATGGCACTCATTGGCTACTTTCTCCATTTAAATTTCATAGAGTGGGTGCCCAGGTTTATTAGAAGAGATTAGAAATATTACTATTTATAAATTATTACTGCTCACAGTTAACAGTTTTATAAATGAGAGGAGGAGGAACTCTAAAGTACTGATCAACAGAAAACTTTACAACTATTACTAGGTTTTGCTTAATGGTGGTTTTCTAGGTCATGGCTATTTGGAAGCAGGCTGAATTCATTTTTGAAGACATTCTTCACCCTGAGGCAAGAGCATCACTGTATCTTCCCATTCGTAGGGTGTCCTAAAATTGCATACACTGTCTGTGAGAGTAGGAGGCAGAGGAAAGGTGTTTAGGGGCTAAAAGGAACCAACAGTCACAGAGCCCTGAAAGCAGCCGACAAGGTAGCCAGGGGCATGGATGTCCGGAACAAATGGACACCAGCGGCTCCAGCCCTGTGTTCACCAGAGAGCAAGGCCGGGGAGGAGCCTGCAGAGCTGGAGGTCACTCTGCCTTAATCAATAAAAATCAGAAAGCAAATAACTCAGTTCTGGTTCTGTTGTGAATCTGTGAATTGAGGCATAAGAAGGAAGCGTATACAGATTTCAGAGGTGGCAAGAAAGTACCCCCTGGAGCTCAGAGAGACCGTATGAAACTGCACTGGCAGAACGGGCTCTGGCATTTAGGACCAAAAACTGAAATGGAAAAGGAGAGAGAACAAGTTAGAACTAGGTTTTACAAACCATCACTGTGGAATGAACCGATAAGGACATTCCACAAATCTCTCGGTGGTAACTAACGAATTCATCTATCAGCAACAAAAGACACGGCAGCAACACTTGTCTGCAGGATGATGTTACAGACCAGCATGCTCTTAAAATGAGGTCAAAGGGCAGCACGGACAACCCACTGCATTCCCACTGCCTGGATTGGACTTGACAAAATACTCTGAAACAGCAGAACATGACTGTAAGTGTCGGGGGAGGGGGGACAGCAGGGCCTGGCTGGGGGTGGGAGCAAGAGCAAAACAGATGCAAAGGAAAGGAACTCCCCCGGCAGAGGTACCTCCGTGAAATCCTCTGCGTCCTCCTCCGCCTGCTTCCCTTGCCGCCAGTGTTTCAGCAGCCACCTGAGTTTGACGTAGAAAAGGAAGATGTTCTGCTTCAGGGAGCATAGCTCCCGCTGCATCAAGTACCTCTCGTCACTCCAGGTCTGCTCCTGCAGCGAGTTCTGCAGGGCCAGGCTGTGCACCTCCAGCTCCCGCCGCCGCAGGGCACACAGGTGCCCCTCCTCCACCTTGAACGGAAGAAAAGAGACGGTGTCACGGGTACCTGTCCCGACCTGGCACCCAAACCGAGGGTCTCTGCAAACTGCCATCCAATCCGTGTCATTTTGCACGTGGGACGTGAAACGCAGAAGCTCCCCCACGTTTAGTAAACTCCTTGAGAGGTTCGCTATTTACAAAACCTTGAGCGCTTTCTGATTCAGAAGCAAGTGCTCTTTCAAGGGGACGTGTCAGGATCAGTTTTCATCATGGAGTCTCTCGTGGTGTTTTTAGATGTTTCTAAACTCCGTCAGGAGAACTGTCTCTTGGAGAGAGGGCTCACAGCTGACTTATATGCAGACCCCGTTTGCCTTCCACACAGGGGCTGGTACCCAAGGCAGATTGCAGTTGTCGAGGCCGAGCAAGGGGGAATCCTTCCCCTTGACTTCCTGGGCCCTGTGGTCCCCACAGCTCCTGACGGAAAGAGGACAAGCTAGTACTAGACTGCACACGGGGTGAGCGCACAGGAAAGACCGACAAGCTACTTCCACACTTGAGACCTCACCTTCCTACCAGGTATGGGCGACACTCAGGGAAACAAAAGCATTGCTGGGAAAGAAACGTTTTCCATCACTATGTTAGTTGCTGCCTTTTCCACATGGGTATAGACACTCTTCCAAGCGGTAAACAACTGTTACGTGTCAATAATGACTAAGCAAAAGGGTGTGAATAAAATCTTAACTTACAGATAAGGGCACAGGAATAACATCCCTAGTAGCTAAAGTGATACCTGGGATGAAAGCTTTCTGTTGCACAGACCAAAGAGAGGGTTAGAGCGCCAGCCTTATCGTTATCCTAACCTAATACCCCCTCTTGTGCCAAAAGCCAATGGGTGGGTTTGGTTTTGTTTCCCTGAAGAACTTGATGGGTGCTCAGAAGCCATGGGACCATGGGAGCATGACTGTGGCTGCCTGAGGTCGACACCGGTCTGACCGACGTGCTAAAGGCCGGTGACCAGCGAGGCTGCTCTGTGAGGCCCTGGGCTATGCGATCACTTGCATGGCCACTGTCGTGATACCAGACCGAGTTTGCACTTGAAGCTGGGCTAACATAAAGCACTGGCGATTTCATTCACGCTCTCAGCAGCCCTGAGTCCCACCACCGGCTCGCTCCCCTGTGGATGCAGGACAGGACGGAGTGACGAAGCGTCAGCGCAGTTGCTGGAAATCCAGTGTCTGCAATTTATTTTTGTGTTATCTTAGGCTACCGACTGACCCTGGTAAAGTTTCAGCTGCTGAGTGCCGCTAACTCATGCTGTGCAGTGCCCAGTGCATGGCGGGTGCCCCAGAGGGGCCCCAGGATTGGCCGCTGGAGGCGCAGCCCTGGGAAGGGGCTGTTCTCTTGGTTTTTCCATCCCTAACCTCCTGGAAACGACCCTTCCTGACTCGCTGGCTCTGACCTCTCCTCCAGGACCCCACAGACTTCCCAAGTCGCAGAGTTCTGGTCCTCTACCCTCGGGGAGGTGAGGGGACCCCGTCCATTCCCCTCTGAACAAGCCTAGATGCCATCTCTCCACCTCCAACTGAGGACTGGGAGACTCTTCACACCCACCCCTTTATCCTGAATCCAAGTACTAGAAACACCTGGGACCCTGCCATTCTGCTAACGGTGTCTCCAGGGATAAATTCACTCCAACATGATTTCTGGTGCAATGCAAAAAAGTTAAATTACGAAGGAATTTACCCTTTACAAAAGGAAAATTATTTCGTATTACCTAATAATACATGAAACTTGACCTATAAATGTAACTTTTAAAAAGGGGTGCACGTCTAGTCGGTAAAGGAGGGTACCCGGCTCGGCTCTGCTCTGCGTGGCAAGGCGCAGAAGGGGCTCCCTTAGTCAGTTTTTTGACCCATTTAGATAAGCACGACCACAGCAACACGGGGCTTTGGTGTAACGCACATTCCTTGCCAAAGTAAGTTCTTGGATACACAGGTACCTTATTTTGCATAGGACATGCATTTAAGATACCACGGTGCCATTTCAAGATCAACTGGTTTTTGGTTTTAAAGATACAGATCTCTCTCAAGAACAAATACAGAAAGCAGCAGCCATGGCAATTCCGAGCCTGGGTATCTGTTCACAACTCAAGTAGATCCGGGGTGGCAGGAACTGGATGGTCCTCGGAGGCCTGTGGGCAGTGAAGTCCGTCTCCTAGGAACTCTAGGGAAGGACTGAGTGGATGAGGGATCAGGGGCCAGGAACAGGTTACTCTGAAACAGCTGAAAGAGCTGATAAGGGCACAGCTCAGTTAACGGCAGCCTTCTGAAAACAGTGGGTGAATTGTTGATGTTTCTCTCAGAAAATTAACCTAATACTGACAAAACATATCAATCTGCAGGACAGTGAAAGTTATGGACACGCTTTAATGTCCGGCGTTTAGGGCCCTTACTTTGCTTTGCTGGTCTGGCTGCAGGAAAGTTTAGATATTAGGAAGACCTTCCCGAGACCACAATGTCAGCATGGAAGTGCGTGCTTTCGAGCAGGGAGGGAGATAGTGATCTTTGAGATCCCCAGGGGGCAGCTTGAAGGGATGTCCCTTCCACACGCCCTCCAACCCCGAGCCCAGGCTGCCCAGCCTGTGCGGGAGACAGAGTCCTTATAAAACACCTCTTGTTCGTTCTCTCTCCCTCTCCCTCTCCGTCTCGTCTCTCTCTCGAGGGGCCCTGCAGACAGAGAAGGTGGTGCTGAACCGTGGTCCGTATTTACCTGCCGGATGGTGTCTGTAAATCTCTCTGCCTCCTCTTGATGCCGTCTGGCCACCTGCGCAAGCTGACCCTGCAGCTCCTTTATCGATACACTCTATTCAGGTAAAACGGGGGAGCCCCTGAGCTGATTGGTGGGACAAAGGAAGGGGTTTAGTGGCAGCAAGAACTTGGTCTGAGCTGAAGACACAGGACAAACGTGCACAAGGCAGGGACGCACATGGAGTGACATGGCACGCGTGGGCGCGGCGGCAGAGGAGTGACTCTCGGCAGCTCCGCCAGTGCCTCACCTGGGCTCCGCCTGCCCTGCATCTCTCACCCCAGCAGACGGGTGGGTAAGCAGTACCCATCACTTGAGCTTCGGCCACCATGGTAAGACAAACCAGGCCGAGAGGAGGCAGCCCCCATAGCAGCTTCGAGATGGCTTTTTAAATGCTGGGGGCGCCTGAGCTGGCAGTCCTGATGGTCAAGCATGACCCCCTCACACACGGCCTCGTAGATTCACTGCCCAAGTTCATGTGTGCCTCTCAGTTGCATAGTTAATGAGTTCGTACGCTTTCCTGTTAGAGTTTTCCCTGCCCCATGGGAGGCCTGTCTTTCCTCCTCACATTCCCACCCAGGATGCTCTGGGTAACCAGCCTGGGGCTCCTTCGCCAAACAAGACACACAACGGTGCCTTGGAGGAGCTACCTAAGATCTGCTTGCTACATTTTAGGTTAAAATACTTAAAGGAATCTTTAACATAATAGTTATTGGTAAAATCCATCTTTTATGTGCAAATGGCAATGATAGAGGCCGAGCTTCTCCTTTTGAAATGTTTTTCAGAGATGGAAACGGTGTCATATTGAAAATCTCAGTCATCATTAAAATTGAGGCGTGCCGTGCTACTCCCTGGTTTCCGCTGCGTGAAGACAGGTGATTTATAAAGCTGGGGGTTAGAAAAGCAGTCGTCACTTCGCTAGTTCATTCTCATTACATTTAACTCATCTGTTGTTTCTTGCCGAGGGTACCGCTGTCCTCTGCTATAAGCTGGTGTTGCCTGGATCGTCATGAGTGGAGACCACATCCCAAGAGTAGGAAATGCAGACAATAAAAGAGCAGAGCACTTGACCTAGCACAGGGTTGACTACGAGAGAATTTACAGAAAGAAGGATGGAGACCGAATATCAGAGACACTGGGAACTCACCACTTTGAGATAAAATTTTTGAAAGCTAGAGATTTAAGGTCATCCTCTTTTCAAGAGACTCAAGAACTACTGAGAACGTGAATGCCTCTGTACTTTGCTGGTTACTAGATATTATTACTGCAGCCTTTTATATCTACTAGGCAGAGTCTGGGGTTCTCTCTGAAGAGGGGTATTTCTCTACATATCGAATTTACCCCAATGACTAATTTCTCATTTCTAAAAGTTCTATTCTTTTTTAATATGTGGGATCTTTTACAGTACAACTTACTTTTTTGTCCTGTTTGCTGGCCCTTGGTCAATCTGAGAGCACTTCTTTTACAGTCTCTATCTGCTAATTTTAGGACGTGGAGGTCTCAGAGTGGCTCCAGCTGCTGCTGCGCTAGCGCCATGAGCGCATCTGCGGTGGTGGGGCATTAGCTAGGATCTCGAGTGTGGCCTGGGCTGAAGATGTGTCCGCAGATGGTCTTCAATTTGCAGAAGCCAGCAGCTGAACAGAAATTCTCCTTTCCTCGGGGGTTCTGCAGCTCCAGGTGACATCAGCTTAGAGCCTGGTCCTGGTGAGGCCGCTGTCCTGACGGGTACCTGGGGAGGCTCCACGCTGCTGGGCAAGCTGTCCTATTGCCCCCCCAACCCCCATCATGGACAGACGCTTCTTCAGCCTTTCATAAAGGGCAGTTTGCAGGGGTGGTCCTGGTTCATTTCTCTCCCTGTCCATTTTCAATTCTGAAGTCAATTCCAACCCTTGAAGATTTTCCTAACATTCTTGGGGATAGAGCTCTGTATTTAAAAGGACATCAGATATTTTATGCAGCACTATCTACTGAGTGCCTATAGCTTTCGGCTCTGTGCTGGGGACACAGCAGCAAGTAAGCGGCCCCAGACCCCTGCCCTCCTGGGGCTTCCCTCCTGCCCCTCTAGGAGTTTGGCACAGGAGTGCTTCCAGGTCACCTGGTTGCTCTACGGGCGGCTTTACTTTTTTTTTCTTCCTTTTGGCCATGCCGCACGGCTTGCAGGATCTTAGTTCTCCAACCAGGGATTGAACTTCGGCCCTCAGCAATGAAAGCGCCAAGTCCTAACCACTGGACCACCAGGGAATTCCTCCAGCTTTACTTTTTCTTACTTTTGGCTGCGTTGGGTCTTTGTTGCTGCGCGCGGGCTTTCTCTAGTTGCGGTGAGCAGGGGCTACTCTTCGTTGCGGTGTGCGGGCTTCTCATTGCGGTGGCTTCTCTTGTTGCGGAGCACGGGCTCTAGGCGTGTAGGCTTCAGTGGTTGTGACATGCGGGCTCAGTAGTTGTGGCTCACGGGCTCTGGAGCGCAGGCTCAGTAGTTGTGGCGCACGGGCTTAGTTGCTCCGCGGCATGTGGGGTCTTCCAAGACCAGGGCTCGAACCCATGTCCCCTGCACTGGCAGGCGGATTCTTAACCGCTGCGCCACCAGGGAAGTCCCAGATTTTCTTTTGAGTTACATGCTACTCTGTACATTTAAAATATGAAAAGCCTCCGTATTTTAACACATTTGGTACCAGCCCAAAGCTCTGAATTATTAGGTGTTAAAACAAGCACTGAAATCAAGCTGATCTTTTAAGAAAAGCAGACCTATTAATTTAGTTTCTACATATTACACTATTTCATTTGGTTGTCATCTTAATAATTATATAAACTTTTAATTTTGAACAAATATACAGGCCTCCTATTTCAGTGTCATTCGATTAAAAATGTGTTCCTCTGTTTGAACCTCACCTTTGAAGGGTCACAGAAAAGGACCCTTGAAGTCCTATGAGGATGTTCATCTGGGACATTTGATTCACCTACAGCGGCTCCCGTGTCCTCTGTGGAGGCTGGTCAACGACAGAAACTTCTAGATCCTCCTCCTCCTCTACGACACATTTTACTCTTTTCTGGTCTATTTTTGCTAATGGAACATTAAACTCTATGGACAACTAATTGCTCCTTGTCAGGGTGCCATTACTCCATTGTTACAAAAGCCAAAATACAAACAGGCTGTGGCAGAAATTTCCATCCAGGGCCACACAACCGCCACATTCACAGCATTTTCACGCAACACAGAGATCTCCTCCAGAAAACACGTACTTCCCCCTTCATCGCCAAGTTCCCGAAGGTTAGATTCTGAAACCATCCTCTGCCCACTCACCTGAGATTCTGATTAAGACATCGAACGCACTGACCTCGTCCTGTGCAGACCGTTTACATGAATGGACACCCTCCTCAGTGGCCCCCAGGCTGTGGGCTCGTGTTCGTCTCGACACCACAGCCACCTCCCTGTGTTATTGCTGGGAGGCCCGCAGCCCACACCTGCCCCTACGTGGCGTGTCCCACGCCCATTTACACTGCTAATTTCCTGGCCATCTTCAGAGATAGTGGCTTATAAGTTACTTTCCACACTTAAGGAGACAACTTCACTATCTCGATATACCAAAAACAAACAAAAAAGCTTTTCATTGTAGCCACTTACTTATTACACACTGGCAACACTACTTTCTAACTAGGACTCCGTTCCGCCTGCATCCCTGTGACCTCATCTCCCGTGACTTCCATTTTGGCCGGTTTTGCTACCCCTTCTTCCCAAAGTGGTTTATCGGGTCAACACCTGCGCACACATACTTGGCATAAACCCCACGTCGTTTTATCGAGGCTGGTATGTCACAGCTGAGGCCGAAGGGATAGCTCGTTGATTAAAGGACAAGAGGAGGGGCTCAGGAGAAGATCTCTGAGATTTCTGACCCAGAAACTCAATCCTCTGGGCACAGGCTCGGTGTCATTTATGTGTGTAATCTGACCAGTGCCCGTGCTCGGCTACTCCTCATTCAGAACTATTTTTAAGGCACCCCACACATTCCAAACCACATATTCCGTACCCTGCTCTCCTTAACAAATGGGAATCTCTCAGCAGATTTGCCGGGAGCCACAGGGAGCAAAGTCAGGGAAGAATCCAGTGCCACATGAGAATCTCGCTGATATCTACCGAGACGAACGGGCAACAGCAGTAGTGGTCCTTCTGAAGTCTGGTTGCTTTGTTCTCCTCTGAGCAGCTAACTTCTGTGTGGTTGCATTAGTAGGTTAGTGGGTGTTAGCAGGTTGTGACTCCGGCTCTCTCTGGCTGTGACAGTTCCGAGGCTGGGTAGATACACCTTCCCCTCCCCCGAGCTTATCGTGTGCAGTCAGAGGGGCAGACCTCTCACTTCACAGATCTGTTATCTGCTAACACAGTACCCTGGAAGAAGGTAGTTTTTTTCTTTTTCACCTTGTTGCTGTTACCGCTGCTACTGGTACTGCTAGTACTAGTAGTAGTTAAGTTTGGGTGTTTAGCCAAACACCCAAATCTTGTCAAATAAGCACTTAACTTCTTTCCCCTTTCCCCAAACTTGAAAATCTATAAGGCAAGAAACATAGAAAGCACTTCACAAATGGAACTTGAGAAATTGGAACTGAGAAATTTTCTGAACTTCAGCTTAAGTTCAGAAAGTTGTTTCTTCTTTCAAGCCACTGATCCTGGGGCTCCTATCAGTACCTCCACCACCCACTCCGAGGAGCTAAGGGCCAGGAGCTGAAGGAAATTCACACGTGTACAGGAGTAGTTGGCTATGCAGACAAACCAGGGTCATTTCAAGGGCAACGGAAGAGGTAGTAAAGAAAACTGCTAACAAGGGGGAGGGATGGATTGAGAGTTTGGGATTAGCAGATGCAAACTACTATATATAAAATGGATAAACAAGGTCCTACTGTATAGCAAGCGGAACTATGTTCAATATCCTGTGATAAACCATAATGGAAAAGAATATGAAAAAGAACATATATAACTGAATCACTTTGCTGTACAGCAGAAATGACACCCATGCCATGTGACGTGTGTCTTTAACCCAGAGCAGCTTCTCTGGCTGGGCTTCCCTGCTACCTGATGGAAGCTTTGTGCACTGTTTCCATTAGAGCCTCACAGGAAAGCAATTGTTGGCAATGAATTCGGTTACATTTTCATTAAAAGGTTTTAAGAGTTCTGCTCCCTAGAACTGTCCATTGTACAATTCTTTAATCCAAAGTAATATTCGAAGACCAAACTGAGCAGTCTGTCAGGGTGATGTCCACCCCAGGGATGCAGCAGCTCCACTGAGTCCAGACCCTACAAGCGATCTCCACGCGGCTCTTCTCATAAAAGGGAAAGCTATGGAGCCATCAGAGGGGTCCTAGAATATGTTTCATCTCTTAGAAAGTATTTTAATATACAATGTGTTTGCATCCATAATTGAGTTTTCTCTTCTGTGTGAAATGCCTTGGTGAATAAAAAATGAGAACAAAGGATGTTTAACTCCTGAGTAATTCTATTTCCCCTTCTAGAAAACGATGCTCCTGGACCTTGCCTTTCACTTTGAGTTTTTTTACTTCCTCATTAAAATGTATAAAATTAAAGGAAACCAGACAGATGCTTAAAAGAAGAAACATTCCACGGCAAGATAGCTGGCCACACAATTAGTCCCCCGGGGGATCTGCATTTGGAAACACCGCCCCCACGGAGACAGAGCTCGGTTTGGAGGTGCCCAGGCCCAGTGGGGACCAGTCCCTGCTGTACAGGCAGCACTCCTCACAGGAGGGGTCGGGGTGGGGAGAGGACTGACCAGGCCCAAGGAAACGGTTCTGGACCCAGTTCCACCACCAGCCGGCTGGGGGGCGGGGAGAATTTGCTGACACTGCATCACACTCTTTCTTCTCATCTGCACAATGAGGGAATTCGTCTGAAGTTCCCTTCTGAGCTACACTGTTCAGTGACCCTAAGTCACATGGCAACAGCTAACTCTGCTAATTGACCTATTACGAAGGTTTAGTTTTCCCACAACATTGTTTGATTCAACGAAGCATTTCCCTCTGTCCAAACCCACTGCCAGTTTCTGAAGCTCTGCAAAGCACACGTGTCTGGGCAAGCGAGGAGCACACTCATGACTCCCGCAGGATCCAGCGGGGCCTGGGGGGCGTGTGGAGAGGAGCCCTCTGACACTCACCAGAGTGAACCAGACATGGTTACGTGGGACATGCCCTGAACGGTGTATCAGAGGAAAGAGGGCTCCAGGGACAGGACCAGGGAGCAGCCCGTGGAAAACGAGGAAGGGCCACGGTGGGCAGAGAAAACTGGTGTGACACCCCGCCTCTGGCCATGGGTTTTGGTGCCAGTACCCCGTGTGCAGGACAGGGCGCAGACGGGCCGGTCGTGGCCTTACGTGTCCTATCATTTGACGTACTCTGATTGACTAGTTTTTGCTCATTTTTACTGTATATTTATAGTTATAAAATCATACAGGAAAAAAAAGAAAATCGGTACCAGCCACAGGAGCCGCAACACTCCTCTCGTCCTCTCCCCTGCCTTTTGGGAACTGCTATGATGCCTCAGAGCTGAATGGTAACATCCCCGCTGGGACTGATGAATGAAGACCCTTCATCCCGACCTTTTCTAACGCAGAACATACGGCTCTAACCCTGCAGTAACCTGCCTCAATGGGCAGTACCAGAGCCAGACACTCACTCCTCGGGGCCACCTGTCCTTCTGTACTGGGTTGAATTACTTGCAGGGAAGAGCATTCACCGAGAGGACAACTGTTGCATACAATGGAGTATTTGTGGTGGCTCCGAGCTTTGTGGACATGGGTTGCTACGACAACGGACTGCTGAAGAGCCGCCGGGTCAGGAGAGCATCCCTGATTCTGCCCTACAACTGGAGCACCGGCACGGAAAACGTGGGGCGCGCCCACAATACACAGGAGGGACATGCTTGGTTTTCAGTCCTGCTTTCCTTACTGCCTGACAAGAAGCCACAGAGCACTCACCCATCAGTCTCATACGCTTTGCCCGAGGACCCAGGAGAACCAGTGCCCCTGCCCTCACCCTGTATGGACCCCTCAGTTCAGTTGCATGCAATGGATTCTGATTCAGTTAAGTCTCCCCTGGTTCCACATCGCCCCCCCCTCCCCGTTCCGTAGGGGCCTCGGACCCAGGTAGGAACCCTCACACCACACACGGCAAAGGAGGGGTAGGAGGGGAGGGGGCGTGGCCACTGGGACCCACCCCTGCTGACCTCCAGGTTGAAGCAGCTCTGGGCTCCAGGCCGGCAGCTCCCCGCGTCCCCGTCGGCTCGACGGTGCAGCTCCCGTGTGGCTCGGAGGTGCAGGGGCCCCCGCTCCTCCCCTCGCTCCTGCCCGGGCTGCCACTCCAGCTGATCTCTCAGTTTGGACTGTTAGGTGCACGGGAGGGATTTGTTTTTTGTTTTTGTTTTAAAATTTTAAACAAAACACAAAGGACAAGAGGGCAGGGTGAGGTGAGGAAGGTAGACAGATGGCTGGAGAACTACGGGATGAGGAAAAGCATGACCAGAGAAACCAACGTAAACACAGCGGCCTCAGAGAGAGAAGAGAACAGAGCCAAGATGAAGCTGAGCAAAATGGCGGGCTGAGAGATCTATAAAGCAAACAGAGAAAGAGGGAGAAGGCGGCAGCACGCTGGTTATGAGGCGCATGCGATGGGGACGCATGTGTCAGACTCGCCCGCAAGCGCACTACCCACGAAGGATATGGAAACAAGGCTCCTGCTGCTTCCTCTCTGCGGTCGCGCGGCGAAAGCCACAGTCCAGGGCGGCGCACGCGAGAGCAGTCCTGGGGCTACTCCACTCGCCGCCCGCTGCTCCGGGGGTTCTCTGCCGCGCTCCTCGCCCGGCCGGGCTGTGTCGCAGAGGGAGCGGGTGGGCTGGCTGCCTACGGCCTTCAGGGCTGGACTGTCCCTGGGGCAGTGAACCCAGGCAGGGACGCACGCGCTCCCGGGAAGTCCGCTAATTATCCTGACCATGAAGTGCGTTTGTACTGCGTCTTAAACTCCTCTTTGCTTCTTCGTTGGGATGGCTGGTCGTTCGGGACGCCAAAACAAAAAGGAAGGGACAGACTGCGACGATCCTAGCGCTGCCAGCAGGATTAGCCTTGTGTCAAGAGGAAGGAGCTCTTAGCTAAGAGCAGCGGCGGTGCAGTTAAAAATAAGAGGAAAAGGGAGAAAGAAACAAGGCGACAAAAGAGAGCTAAACCAAATCAAACCAAACTGGGGGGGGGGTAAAGAAAAAAAGGAGAAACCCAACCAATAAAAAGGTTTTGGTTGGAACTTGAGGCTTTAGTACAATGCAGGTTTGCGATCATAACCAAGCAGCCGTGAGCAGGATGAGCTGCAGTGCGGCAAGGCCAGCGAGGAGGAGGAGGAGGAGGGAGCAGGGAGGCAGAGCCGGGAGCCCCCTTACCTGCAGGCCCGGGCCCAGCTCCTTCCCCAGGTTCCCGACGGGGGAGTCCCGGGACACGGAGGTCACAGAGGACAGGAAGCTGGAAGACTCGGTGAGGTGGGGCAGAGGGGACAGGCCCTCCCCCAGCCGCTCCACCTGCTCCAGGAAGGCCTGGAGCTCCTTCCTGAAGGCCTTCATCCTCGCATTGAGGGTCCCCAGCAGCTGGGGCTCCTCCTTGGCGCCCTGGACGCCGGCTGCCGACAAGGCCCCACTGCCCTGCAGCGGCACGTCCGTGAAGCCGTCGGTGTCGGTGATGATGCGCTCCACGGTCCGCTCCAGCCGCTCGGCCTCGTGTCTGATGCTCGCCAGGCGCTCTGAGCCCTCCCGAGCGCGGAGCAGCTCTGTCGGGCACTCACCAGCCTCCGACGGCTTCCCGCTGCCGAAGCCCGACGTCTTCTCGAAGGTCTCCTCCGAGTCGCTCTCGCCGCCGATGGGGCCCTCCCGCCTGGGCTGCAGCGAGCGGCCGTCCTCCCCGTCGCTCTCTTTCTTGCCCGCGTCGCTGTCAGCGTCGCTGTCGCGGGGACTTGGGGCGCGCGGGCCCGGGGCCGCGGCCGGGTCACAGCGTGGGGCGCCCAACAGCAGCACCTGGTTCTCATGCTGCAGCGTCAGCACCTTCCCGCTCAGCTCCCTGATCTGCAGCCGCGCCGCTTGGAGCTCCTCCTGCAGGGGCGCTCCACCGCTCGCGCCCCCCGCCGGCCACGCGGGCTCCGGCCGCGGCTCGAACTTGAACTTGCTCAGCTCGTGGGTCAGCTGTCGGTTGTGGTCCTCGATCTCGGAGATGGACCTCCGCAGCAGCTCCGCCTCCTCCTCCACGAATTGCAGGTGCCGGCGCAGCTCTGCGGAGGACTCCAGGGAGTCCCCGAAGGGCGAGGTCGGAACGCCGGGCAGGGGCTCCCGGCCCGCGGCGTCGCGCTCGTGCTGGCCCCGCAGGTCCTCCATCTCCGCCTTGAGGCCCCGGTTCTCCACCTCCAGCTCCACGATCTTCCGGCCCAAGATGCTGGCTTCCTCCTCCACCAGCTTCAGCCGCAGCTTCAGCTCGGCCTCCCGAGTGCTGGGCGGCCCGCCGGCCTCCCCCGTGGGGAGCGGGCTGTCCACGTCCCCGTAGAGGGCCTTGTACCTCTGCAGCTCCTGTTCCAGCCCGTCCTTCTCCCGCCCCAGCTTGGCCATCTTCCTGAGCATCAGCGAGCCCTCCTCTTTGGCAAACTGGAGCTGGCACCTCAGGTCGGCGCTGTCATCCTGCCAGGAGAGAGCAGCCCAGAGGACGGTTATTTGAAAATACCCAATGTTCCTGTTTGTGACGATTTCCCTCGCACCTCGCCCCCGACACACGCACACACAAAACACCGATCTTCCCGTCAGTGCGTGGAGTCGCTCATTAGAGGGACCACGACAGGGTGAGCCTGGGGCCTTCATGGGGGCACCGGGGACTGCTGGTGGTGGCTTTGTCACAGAACAAAGGAAACCAAACAGTTTGGAAAAACGTGCACATGAAAACCATCACCCAGGAGATGAGTGAATGAGATGAAACCCAGCCCCGTCAGCAACGCAGCGACCGCCCCCCCGCTCTGCCCCTGTTACTTTGTGGGTCCACCCTGACAAGTGAGAGACCCCAGACCCCTTGCTCAGCCTGGGGCAGGCAGACAGGCCTCTGTGGCCACTCCCACCTGTTGCCACTTACCTCCTACCTCATCAGAGGGGTGGGCCAGCACCTCACAGGTATTAACAGGATGGGGAGGCCAGGTGACCCCAAATCAGAGCCCGGCTTTGCTGGAACCTGAGACACGGCAACCCAACTCTCCTCCTCCCCTGCCTCCCCTCCCCCAACGAATCACAGGGATGGCATGAGGACAAATCATGAGATGATGGGCATGAGGGTGCTCTGGAAGCCGAGTTGCACAGTAAGTACAAAGCTCTGACGGTTAGTATGAAATGGTTACTGCAAACCTAATCCCGGGTGACTCGCACCCTCCTCTCCCCATGCGAACTTGACTTTGGTTACGTTCTGCGCCTTTAGTGGCTGTAACAGCACGAAATTAAACTCAGAAACCCAAGGCAAGGTGTTAAGTGGTTTAAAACCTGAGAAGTGGTGGTCATCGGGATCCCAGAGGATTCTGGAGGGTCACTGGAGCAGGCTCGCGGCTACTAAAAGCCCACACTGCTCGGCTGAGGTCAAGAGGGCAGTTTCTGGAGCAACTGGAAAGTGGGCTCTGCCTGCGCAGCGCAGGTCTCAATGCCCTGCAGCTGCGTGAACTCTTCATAGTCAGTGGCTGGCAACAGTGACCAATTTCACGAATCATTCCTCTGTGATTGGCTACCAAGTTTCAAAAGGCTGTCATGGGGTCAAAGGCTTAGGCAAAAGGCTCCCCCTGCCACACAAACTCAGTGATGCGCTGGGTGGTGGTCACACCCCATCAACCCAGGGGAGGCAGAGTCGTCAAACCAATCTCCACGGCAAGTCAGCCCCCCGGGGGAGGATGACTCTTCCAGATCACTTGTGTGCAAACAGGCCCGCAGGGCTGGCGCAGCTTCATCCTCAGAGAACATGGCTCATTCTCCGCCCTGTTCTTGCCGCTCGCTTACCATTGGGCAGAAAGACATAGAAACGCCTCCCTGGGTGCCCACACCTTTCCTCCTTCCACCCCTAGACCCCTCCTGCCCGAGCCACAAACCCATGGAAGGAAAGAAAAGCAGAGTGACAGGTAAGATTCAAAGAAAAATCACAGGCCAGCTGTGAGCCAGAACCACACGGAAAGCAGCCCTGGTGCTGCCCGTGCACCCTCTGAGGGACTATCTCTCACGCCACCTCTTAGCAGAGGGCCTACCTGTCCCGCTCCTTCTGTCCATGGCACCAGGGGCTGAGTGCAGAGCCCTGGGGAACCAGCCCCTTTTGTCCAAAGCAGAACCCTCAATCAAGGTCGTTGTGAAGGTCAAAAGGAACAGCATATAGCTGACTGGTTTGTATGTAGCCAATCTCCACACTCTAGCACGCTGAAGCCAACCTTCTGCTTTGTCTGAAACTCAATTAATTTGGGGAAAAGGAGCCAGTAATTCTGTTTTGTTTTTTTTTTTTTCTGTTCGCACATCAGGAGAGTTATATATAAATGTCACTGGGAGGAGAGCATGGTCTTCGTGATCTAAGAACGTATCACATTAAGGATCTAGGTTGTTTTTGGTTAGGCAGACATAACAAGGGTGTCTGTGACTAACTGAAAATAAAGCTGTCTGCCCTGCTCAATGGAGCAAGATGGGTTATCACTGCTGGGGTAATGATATATATATATATATTTTAAAGGGCCTACATAGAATACACGGGCTGTAAAAGACATACTATATTTAATCCTAAGGGGAAAAGCATACTTACTTGTTGATTCATTCATTCCTTCGGTAAATATTGAATACCTACTACGTACCAGAAATTGGCATGTTAAACAACCCAGTTTCTTAGAACTTTTGAGAGTAGAACAACCAAAAGCATCTTTTCAATTTTTGGTAAACATTGATTTGTAGGAAATCTATTGTATCCAAATACACAGAGAGGTCTTTGTTGTCACAGGAAGGAATGGAGTTTGAATAAACTAAAATACATATCAATGGAGATAAGATTGTCAATACTTTGTAAATGAATCAGTTTGGGGGTGACAAATCTGGGATAGGAAGACCCTTAGCCCCATCATTAACTTGATAGCCAGCGTTTGTCCTGTGTCCAAAATCACCTAAACGATCCTATCTCCCCGGAAGCACAGAAATTCAACTTCGTGCCTGGGGACAGACACGGAGATCGGAGAGGAGAATGTTGCCAGCCCCAAGGGAACTCCACCTCCAGCCCAGGACTCAAGCCTCTGCGGATCCAGGTTTGGGCAGGGCCCCAGCCGTGACCAGTGTCCTGACCCTACTTCCCTGGAAACTCACAACTGGTGAGGCCTTGAGACGGTGGAGGCCAAGGGGCAGAGTCATCTGCACAGTTCAGGATGCTTTTGTCTCAAACCAAGATCAGAGGGTCTCAGGCCATCTCTCCCGAGGGTTTCCCCCAAAAGTTGAACTGAGAAATCGGGGAAGGCACACGAGAGGCACATGGAGACCGGGCCTTCCCCGAGCGTTCTGTACTTGGTTGTAAGTACCCATCTGCAACCCCCCCCCTTATACAGGTAAAAACCCCAGGGAGCCCTCAGACTGCCTTGACTTCTAGAAACCTCACACCACCTGCCCCCACTCCCTCTCTGCCATTCCCCACAGTCTGATTATAAATTACAACCATCCTTCTCTGTCTCCTTGAACTTAAACCCAGGTCAGGTAAAGAAACAAGATTCTATGATAGGGCTTCCCTGGTGGCACAGTCGTTAAGAATCCACCTGCCAATGAAGAGGACATGGGTTCGAGCCCTGGTCCAAGATCCCACATGTCGTGAAGCAACTAAGCCCGTGTGCCACAACTACTGAGCCTGGGCTCTAGAGCCCGCAAGCCACAACTACTGAAGCCCGTGCACCTAGAGCCCGTGCTCCACAACAAGAGAAGCCATCGCAATGAGAAGCCCGCTCGCCGCAACTAGAGAAAGCCCACTTGCAGCAACGAAGACCAACACAGCCAAAAATAAAATAAATTTAAAAAAAAAAAGATTCTATGATATACCCTAGTGAGCATCCAATTCATAGATTACCTGAGGATTGATCAACTATCCAAAAAGCCTTCCTGTTCCTTAAAGAAACTACCCACATACGAGAAATTCTAATAGATGATTAAAGCATGCTTCATTTCTATGCAACACCCATGCATTACTAGGCCTGACTAAACCATGACTAACGCAGTTTTTGACAGAAAGGCCATCTCTAAAGCCAAGGGAGTGTGTGGCTTTAACAAAGGGATCAGACTTCCTCACTCAGTGGAGGCGGCTGGAGCAGTGTTTTGGGGGCTGGGTGTGCGGGCAGCTGGGCTCAGCCTGTTCTGGGGCGGGAAGCCAACTCCTTCTAATAAGATGGGGAATCACAGTCTCAGCTAAAGCAGCACGGGCTGGATACCCATCTTATCTTGTAACTGAAGACTTTCTAAAACTCAGCCAAGACTCCAGGGGAGGGGTCTAGGCTGATCTCAGGCTCTGGTTTCAGGAGATGGTCTGATAGCTCCAGGAATGCAGCGTGAAAGCAGGTCCAGTAACCTTCCCACGTGACACACCTGGTGCAGGCAGAGAAGGCAAGCAGGGCATGGAGGGGAGGACACACACAGGGCCACCGCTGCCACCACCAGCGGAAAGGCCTTGACAAGCGACAGAAATATATCGCTACGGGTATATATTCTTTGGCTTGCAAGTCTGCCGTCTGGCCAGCCCCCCAGCGCTGACTGCGCGTGCTCCTACCTTGCGCCGGGGCGCCAGTTTCCTCTGAGTTCTGGCTGCGGACCTGCAGTTCCCAAGGCGCTCCGTTCCACCGCTCTGCCAGACAGAAACTCCTTGCTCAACGGTCCCGCAGGCTGGGCACTTAACCTGCTCCCGAGCCCGGGTCTCCCCTCTCCTGTCCCCAGCCTGACTGACCCTCGGGTGAGTACACTGCACACTGTCCATCCCGCGATGGGTAGAGATGACCCTTTTAAAGAGAAGCTCTTCCCTGGTCAGGAGCCAGTACGTTGAAACAGACTCAAAGCCCAAGGGGGTTGAAGCTCCCAGTAGTGGGGACAACAGATTTTAATGTCGCCCTTCTTAGCGGATTCCAAAGGGAGATTTGGGGAGCAGAGACGTGGAGAACAGTTAACCTCTGGCATTCCTCCAGCTCACACAGCCAGGCCCTCCGTGAAGGCTGCTCTGGGGACGGGGGACTTTGGAGAGGGGAGAAAGCAAAGGGAATCAGGTGTGGGATTCACAGGGAGGCCGGCCCCGGGCCTCAGAGCTCGTAGTTTCCTGAACTTACTGCATTTCTCTAATTAGTCCTCGCTCTGAGAGCTCAGGAAGCTGACACCCCAATGATGCCTTGTTCTCGCCAACACCTAATACTAGCAGCAGTTTTTTTTGTTTTGTTTTTTTTTTAAAGAAGGAATCCAGCAAAGCGAGTGTTCAGAAAAGCTAAGGAAGTTCTGAAGGCCACGTGCCATGTGCACAGAAAGGGCCCCACTCTTACCACCTTGGAGAGAACACCTTGTTTTCAATTAGGACAATTTAAGACACCCTTCAGTTTGTGCATTAAAAAAAAAAACAAACAACACTCAAAACGATGCTTTATGGATGACCCGAGACAACGGCAGCTGTGCTCTTTTACTACTTTACTGTGTGAATGTCTTCGAGGCCAGAACGCCTGCCACCAGCTGTGAGCACGGCACGCAATTATGCTGCTCAGGAAGCCAGTTTGCTCTCCTCCTTCTTGAAGAAACCACCAGCTGATCGGTGCGAGAAACAAGAGCTGTTGGTTTGGGAAGACAGTTTTCACCCCACAGGGGCTTTGGATGGGTCCAGATGTTGGGGCAGCTCATGTTTCTCTGACGATATTGAAGGTGACACTAACACTTGAGAAAATTCAAAATGAGGAGACGTCGTAACATGAGTGTGGAACGCTGCTTACCTGAGTGAAGGCTTTCTTTTCTTTGTACATTTCCCGGCTGCCTCTTCTCTTCAGGGAACTCTGAAATAGATCCAGGTGACATTCTGTTACGGAGGGGGGGGGGTCACACGGGGGAGCCGGCACTAGGTGGCAGGTCCCCACTGGGAGGGGACACACACAGTGGACGGAGGCTCTTTTTGTCACTGGAATCAAGAAACAAACTAGAGTCAACAATATGAAGGCAGTCGGGGGAATTCCCTAGTGGTCCAGTGGTTAGGACTCCGAGCTTTCACTGCCGTGGCCTGGGTTCAATCCCTGGTCAGGTAACTAAGATCCCACAAGCCATGCGGCACAGCCAAAAAAGTATGTCAATATAAATATAAAAGAATACAATACAATACAATACAGTAAAGGGAGCTGGGTGAGCTCAGGGAGGCCTTCGCATCCTGAGAGGCTTTAAGTCCTGATTATTGGATTTGGGGTTTTCCCCAATCCTTCAGTTTCATGAAGGAGGGAGTCTTGGGTTATTGTGACTGTGGAGGGGAGATGGGAAAAGGAAAAGGGTAGGAAGTTTTGGGTAAAAGATATGTAATGTTTCTGGAGCTGCGTTACCTTCCGAATTATGTTTTGTTTGGGCTAATATCAAAATGAATTGCCATTTCCGGGGTGCCTGTGGTCAGCAGTGAGGTGAAAAGTGGTCGCAGGGAGAGACGGTGGCCCTTGTTTACGGAGAATCCAGGTTGCGACATTCTCCATGACCCCACGCCAATTCCTGATTAAGCATACCTCTTAGGTCTTAGCGAGTTCATCATTTCTTCACGTGGGAAGCGGCCAGGCTGGGTCCCCGCCTAGTTTTACATGCGTTACAGCGCACCTTTGCCTGCTATGGGCAAGAAGTGTGTCTGAAGTAAATCAAAAGGCCAAGGGATGCCTGAGACAGGAGCACAGGGAGGCAGGGCAGTTCCCGCTCACGCCAAGTGCGGAGACAGAAAGAACGGCTGGAAGGAGAGCCAGAAGCTCTGAAGGGAAGACAAAGGAACTTGAAACCCGAAAGGATGGGTGTAATCACAGCACAAGTTAGAAGAAAGCAGTTTGGAAAGTTAAGAGACTCCCCCCACGGTCAGCTTCACCTGAATGAGGGGGACCGGGGTCCCCTGGGAGCTGACCCAGAGAGGGGCAGTGCCCTCCCTGCTTCGTACCTTTGCTGCACCCCGCACACTGCCCAGTCTGGGAAGGAGGCTCTCCTGCAAGTCGCCTCCATGACATCAGATCTTAACGTTAATTCACTCAGTTCTGTGTGCATTACAGTGTCTCGATGTCAGAAGGTTAGACCGTGCCATTTATTGGATGAATTTCAGGGTTAAGAAACAACTGAAATTCTAGCTGTCCCTGAGCCTCTCGGAGGCTGGAGGCCTGGGGAGAAAGGTAACTGAGAGAAGGGATAAGAAAGTAGAGAGTCGGCATGGGGTGTGGGCGCTCCCCGGCCAGCCAAGGGGGGGGGTGGAGGCTTGTCCCTAAAACCCCAGCTGCAGAAGCGGCTTTCTTTCCTTTAGCTTTTTCTGTAAAAGCAGGGTCAGACTACAAAGAGAATCACCATCTCCTCCAACAGGTGAAGTTGAGCCTGTCTTAAGAAGGGTTTGAGTTTTTGTACCCATTGTAAGTAGGTTTTCCAAGATTCTTCACGCTGCAGTGAAGGAGTTTCTTTGATCTGAATGAGCCGAGTGAGATGAACGCTTCCGACGATTCACTATAGAGAAGAGTTACGATAAAGCATCAGGGAGAGAGGCTGTTCCCGAGGCTTCAGCCTGAGGGGTTTAATTCTGGGACTGTGGTTGCAACCAGGGCCCACAGTGACTGCAGCAAGCCAGCCTTCTGCAAGCCGCCCTCCCGCATCACACCTTCCAAGAAACGGAAAACAGATTCTGCACTTGCTGAAAGAAAACTGTCTGGAAGCCAGAGGAAAGCTAGAAGTGGAGAAAGAAGTTTCTGAAAATCTATGCAGAATCACAGTTGCTGCATTTCGGTGCTGGAGGAAGGGGCGCTTTCTGGGGGAGCTCCCGCTGGAGGGGCCCGGGCACAGATTCCTCTGACCCGCCCGGGTGTCTTTTTCCCTTGCCCTGCCCTGAACAGAACTGCCTGAGTCCTGTGATCCACCTAGCGAATCAGGGAACAGGCAGGAGTTTGTGGGACCCCCAACATAGATCTCAGCCACAGCGGCAACTACAACAAAAAACACTGCAAGGATTGAGATTAACCAGCAATTAAGAAACCATAAAACTTTGGTGATGGACATAAATGAATGCTAGATGTTGTCTGATGGGAAGACCTATGTTACAAAGATGTCACATTTTTCCCAAATAATTTTATAAGTCATTTTAACCAAACTCCTCTCTGTCTCCATATATACATAGTGCAACATATATACACACAAATAGTATGTGTGTGTGTGAGTATATATACATACACACAAATAGTATGTGTGTGTGAGTATATATACATACACACACAAATACTTTTTGTATATTTGTAAGGGAGATAAGAGGATGGAAGGACTTGACAAAAAGATTAAAAATTCAACTAGATCAGGGATAGGCAAACTTTGGCCATCAGGACCAATGAACCCACAGCCTATTCTGTGACTAAGTTTTACTGGAGCACAGCCTCATCTATGGATCAGAAAAAAACAGATCTATACCATGTATTTTAAAAAATTCCAGATGATTTAAAAATATAAATGTAGAAATCACACACACACACACACACACACACACACACAAAATCCCAGAAAGAAAGAGATGAATTTCTATTTGTTCTGGGGGCATGAACTTTATAAACACAAGAAACAAAAGCTGAAACATCCAAGGAAAAGATAGAGTGGATTTATAAGATTAAAATATTTTTATATTATCAAAATAAACCACTTACAGTATTAAAAAGCAAATGATAAAATGGAAACAAAGATTTTTCAAACACAAGACAGACAAAAGAATACTATTTGGCAAGCAATAAAACCATCTTAATAAGAAAATAAACAAATGGCCAATAAACACGATGACTAGTAATTAAAACAACAAGGTATTGTTTCTCACTTCGAGATTTGTGGACCAAAAGAAGTATGACATCCAGTGTTAGCAAGTATCCCCAGAGGCCGCCGCCCCCGACCGAACAGCAAGTCAGGGGCCGGCGCGGGGTCCTATAGCACTTCCAGTGGGCAGCTCAGCCTGACAAGTGCATATATCGTCAGCCAGGAACCCCACCTCTGGGAGCGTACCCTAAGGAAAAACGCAGAGATCTGTGTGAAGATTTGAATGAATCAAGAGTGCTCGTCACAGTACCTTTTATAATAGTAAATGAATACCGCGCAGGTTATTAAAATGAGGTTTTTGAAGAATACTTAAAGATGCCAGAAATATAATACATTAGAAGGAAAATGCAGATGACAAATACCATGTATTTTGTGACTTCACTTTATATCTAATAAGTTATAAGCATGCATATGGGGAAGGGGGGTGGGATGAATTGGGAGATGGGGATCTACGTATATACACTACTGATACTATGTATAAAATAACTAATGAGAACCTACTGTACAGCACAGGGAACTCTACTCAATGCTCTGTGTTGACCTAAATGAGAAAGAAATCCAAAAAAGAGGGGATATATGTATATGTATAACTGATTCACTTTGCTATACAGCAGAAACTAACAACATTGTAAAGCAACTATACTCCAATAACATTTTTTTTAAGTATGCATATGCATTACATGTGTATGTGAGAAAAGTAAACTAGAGAAATGTATATCAGAATGTTAATAGCGATCCTCTTTGGATGATAGAATTATGAGTGAGTCAATAATTTTTTTGTGGCTTTTCAAAGTCTCCAAATTATCTACAGTGAACACTATTTCCTTTGCAATTAAAAAAAAACAAAAAACAGGAAATTAGAATCCGTTTGTAAAGAGGTCAGAGAAAAGAGGCTATCACTGATATCCTACGTAGGGTTTCAGTAGCGCTTCATTAGAAGTTATCTGCCAACTTTTGGGTCTCTTTCCATAAGGTGATATTGTTATTATTAGTCTGGTCCTTGAGGTATGACTGGTACATATACGGTTAGTGAAAAAGACCAGTAAGCCCCCTGAAGATAGCAGGAACCGGCCAGGTACCCCACAGCACTGCAGGCAGGTGCCAAGCCGTCCTGAGCCCCCGGCCGGGGTGCAGGCCCCTCTGCGCTTGCGCCTTGAGTCTCGCCCAGGCAGGGATCTGTGCTCTGGGTGCACTGGCTGGGGACCCTGGGTACAGAAGGAGTTGTATGAGCATCATGGCCGGTTCACCCCTCTGGATGACTCAGATCCAGTGGAGTGTCTCTACCAAGAAACAGTAAGGAAAGGGGTGAATGCTGACTATCAAATAAACACAACCCAGAAGGGCGGCTCCCCTGTGATTCAGTCCACTCTTCCTTTTTAGTCTGGCCAACTGCCAACAAATCAACTCTCAATTCCTACTGAGAAGGGAAAAAAATTGAGTTTGAATCCAAATTGAATCCATCTACGCTGATGCATTTGCTGAGCACTGAATGTGATTAAATAAAACATGAAGTTAGGCAATTTGGACTTGAATGTCAATTCTTAACGCTTCCTACTTTAAGTGAGCCAGTTTCTTCCAAGCCATTTCAGAAAAACTAACAAGCTCTCAATTGCTACAACGTTTCAGAGACAGGCTTTGGGCTTAAAATTTAGATTGGGAGTAAAAGGAGGCAGATGGCCCCCACTTGCCACAACTAGAGAAGGCCCTCGCACAGAAATGAAGACCCAACACAGCCCAAAATAAATAAATAAAAAGGCAGATGAAATTTAGAACGCTGTAAATCATGAGTCAGTATGGGAAGAGTAGGGATGGAAGCAGAAGATTTCAGAATTCTTAGATTCTTATTATTTAGAAAGTTGTTTGGATTTGGGGGGCTGATTTGCAGCACACAGTTTATACCATCAGAATAAGAAAATGAAGGTGCCTAGATCTTCTTCCTTTTAGGAGGACATTATCAGGGTTCATTTCACCCACATTACAGTTCTCGTTGTGTTAA